TCCGAAAGGTTTGCCTACTGGACAAACATTTCCATTAACCTTTCAGAAGGTTTTTCATCGACCTTCCGGAAGGTTTGCCTACTAGACAAACTTTTCCATTATCCTTCCAAAAGAACATTACTTTAACCTTTCAGAAGGTTTTCATCGACCTTCCAGAAGGTTTTGCCCACTGGATTAACATTTGCCTTAACCTTCTGGAAGGTTTTGTCTGTTTTTCTACAAATCCTTCCTTCTTCATTTCCAACCCATTCCAATCCGTTCCACAACCATCCCAAACTTATACCACATACATTTGTACATCAAACCTAGTTAGTACAAGTTCTATTACAATGATTTCATATATTTACAAACTAAAACTAAGTTTTAACTATTATTTACTTGAATTTTTCCATATTAACATTTCAAAAGAAATAATTACTTGCTATATAAACCTATATACATATATAAAGATAAAAGTGTGGGGTTTACACTATTCATCTAAGACAAAGTCCACATTTTGATTCTCCAATAGCTTGTAATCAACCTGCTCATCCACATAGACATCCTCTTCTATGCCAAAATTTGTAATGTGTTGTAGGGGGTGAGCAAAAGCCCGTAGAAATCCCTCTCAAATCCCAACAAAAATTTTAAAACAATAAAAAGAAGGCAAGTCTCTTTTGAAAAATAGCATATATACATTTTGAGAGTAAAATCATGATAGTTGTAATAATTTCAAGTGTATGGAATACAATAAATCAATGACAAGAATAAACATGCCTAACTTAAAACAATCAATTAATAACTTAGTAGTATCATCCCATATTCTTCTGTATGTTGGTTCATCCTCATTCTCATGTATGTTGGTTCATCTCCATTCTCATGTATGTTGGTTGTTTCTCAAGAATCTACACAATAATTCTACCTCGTTCACACACCACAACCACGTAATCTCAATGATTCCCTACAGGGCCAAAAAACAAACCATTTTAAGAAGGGCGTATACCTTCTCTTACAACCTTGGCGAATCTTTCCAAACAAAGGTATACCATCCATCATCCTCGAACTTACGTGAACAATAGTGATTGCTCTCACAAACAACAATCCACTACAACTGCTAGACAACCATCTCACCCCCACTGGGATAGACTAACCTTTAACACTCTACGTCAGCTCTCGAAGGCAATTCAAGTCTGTCACACCCAAACCATACAAGAGATGAGATTACAATTTTTTCAACAACCATAATCTTAACCAATCACAATTTTCATTAACAATTTAAGTATCACAATTACGCAATTCTCAATATACTACAGTAATATAAGAATTAAAATATGCAAGAGATCATATCAAGAAAATCTTCAAATTTCGATCTCAAAATTTTAAGGTTTTGCCAAAAAAAACATAATTTCTTGGAATAAGAATAAGTATTAGATAAAAACATGATTTAATCAAGAACATGAATTTAGAAATCAAGAATCCATGTATTTTTCATAACCAAACATGTATTTAGCAAAACTAGAATTTTTGAAATTCAAGAACAAATATTCTTTAAACCTAAACAAGTATTTTGTTCAAAACTATGTTTCAATGATAAAGAAATCAATAACTCATAAATATTTATCATATAACTATTATTAAGATTGAAAACATACGTATATAATACTCTAAGTTTCAATGAAAGAACTTAAAAAGAATTCCCTACCTTAATTCTGTAGGTTGTGATGCAAATCTTAGCGTGCTCTATCCGTCCTCTAGGAAAAACTCCCTTGAAGTAGTGTCCTCTCTCCTTTTTTTCTCACCCTCTAGGGTTTTCCGTGATGAAAAACTAATGAAACTTAGTCTAAGGGTTGTTCCCTAAGTATTTATAGTGAAAAATTCGAGAGAACATCCAAAGCAGGTCAAGGACGTGAAACCCTCTATTCGGTGCGTCCTGGCGCGTGTCTTTTATTATCTGGATGTGTGTTTCTTCGCCTAACTTTTTACCAAGTGCGTCCAAACACGTGTCTATTCCCGTCAGGACGCGGGTGATAGTATACCCCCCCCCAATTCTAGCTCGATTTTGACCTATTTAGGAGCCAATTTAGAAAATTTTTATGAAATACACTTTTGTAGCCTTTGAAGTCTAGTTTCTATTATTCAAGAATTAGCTCAACCAGAAGTTATGAGTAAAAAGTTATGGCCAAAATACTAGGGTAATGTCAAATTCATTCCTATTCGAATTCTTTCGAAAATGCATTTTAACTTCCAGTTACTTCATAACTTCTAATACACCATATATTACATCTTCCAAAGTTCCTTAACCTTCTGGATTTAATGGAAACTTTATTTTGACCTAAAAATATTTACAAAATTACTTAGCCATATTTTTCAATCTAAACATCTCCAAAACTCCATTTATCTCAACGTAAATACATGCAAAACTTAAACTTTATAGTCAATCTTTCAACTATGATTCTAAATTTCTACCATCCTTTTATTCATTTTAGGAGAATTTTTAAGATAATATTATTCTTCTTTATAATTTTATTCATGTGGAGAGAGCTTACAATTATAGACACAAAGCCTTAGGTGAGGCGGTGACGTGATGGGTAGAGTACTAGTTTATAGGAGATGATAATTATAACTAGGATAGGTATAATTAGAGATAGTCTCGATCTTTGAGAGCAGCTATCTCAGAAATTACTCCTCAGGTGCTCTAATTTCCTTGGACTCCTTGAACTTTGGACTAGACTGGATCGATGAATTGGGCCTGACCCGCTTCGTTGCGAGTTTGGGCTTAACTAATTGGTTGGGCTGACCTAGTTGGATTTTGGCTCATTAGAATTTGTTCTATTTAATTCATACTATAATTTTGTCATTAAATATTTGTTCTTCTTAATTAATTGTTTTTGTTGGTCTAATTGTGGATGCTTTGACACGATTTTATTTTTGTTAAATGTTGTGTGTCGAATGTGTATTATTATTTTCAGTACTTCTTTATTCGAAGTTTACAGATTTGACAAAATTTTATTTATTGTTAAATGTTATGTATTAAATGTGCTATTGCTATATCCGGTAATTCTTTACTCAAACATTTGTATGATTTTATAGATGAGAAAATTTTTAAATGTTAAATTTTTTTTTTTCATGTTGTAGACATTCAAAGCCAAGTTAATCACAAAAAAAAAAAAATTCAAAGCCAAGCCAATCACCAATAAAAAAAATAACAAGTGATACCAATTGCATCAAAAAACCAAAAAAATTCAAAGTCAAGCGAATTGCCAATAAAAAATAACAAACCAATAAAAAAAATAAGTGAAACCAATTGCACAAAAAAAAACATTATTCAAAACCAACTATAAAATTTTATAGACATTCAACCCAAGCTAATCACCAATAAAAAAAATAACAAAACCAAATATTTGAATAATTTTATAGAATGAGAAAATATTTGAATGCAATTTTTTTTCCTAGGTTGTAGCCATTAAAACCTAAGCTAATCACCAATAAAAAACAAATGAAATCAGTTGCCCAAAAAAAATAAAAAAAATTCAAAACCAAACTAATCACCAATAAATAAATAAAAACAAGTGAAACCAATTGCACTAAAAAAATAAAAATATTCAAAACCAAACTAATCACCAAATAAAAAAAAACAAGAGATACCAATTGCACCTAAAAAAAAAAAAAAATTCAAAATCAAGCTAATCACCGAAAATAAATAAAAACAAATGAAACCAATTGTACTAAAAAAGTGAAAATATTTAAAATCAAGCTAATCACTAATAAAAAATAACAAGTGATATACCAATTGAACCTAAATAACAAAAAAAAAAAAATCAAAGTCAAGCTAATCACTAATAAAAAAATAACAAACGATTGAGTTTATAATTATATTGTGTTATTAGGTTGAGTGGTCACAATGGTGAAAAATTCATACATCTTATAAATGAGAAATATTTTATTTGTTGTTTAAAAATTATAAATTTTATTATGTTCCGTTAGTATTTGTTTTTTTTTTCGAGATATTTGTATATATAGTATTGTTTTGGAAATTTTTTTGTACATTTTTGTGATAGTTTTATTAATATGGATTCTATTAACATAGATGATATGATTAAAATTATATTTCGGGTTATTTTAAAAGAATTGATATGAATGTTTTCGGGTCATCTTTTTGAAGTTGGACAATTACTAGCCATTTTTTGTGTGTTATATAGTGCCGTAGGCACTAACAATGACTAGTAGATAAATATGAAAGAGAGATAATTTTAATGTTAGTTAAATTTCTAAAATTTAGGAATTGTTAGTTTTTAAATTTATTTTAATTAAACATAACTATTAGAGATATTTTAGACGATATATATCAAAATTGACTTAATATTAATTTTTTTTTTATGATCTTATCACTAAATAAGTTCACAAAGAGAACTAATCTCTAAATTTTCCAATATAATATGAAAAATGGACTTTAACTAGCGTGCTTTACATGTAGAATTCTCAGCAGTAATCAGTTGATTATCACAAGTCATCTCAGAAGCTAATATGCACAAAATTGATGACGCAAAAAGGTTTATTAACGATACTTCACCCATTGTTAGCCGGTTCGTTAATGAGCAAAGAGAAGACTACGCAAAAATCGGTTCAAACTCAAATTCGGGTCTAAAATGCTATCCAATCCGAATTTTGCTCAAACGTAGACAGATCTCGGTTAAGTAATTTTCTGGGCCACATAAACGAACTTGGACCCATATCAGCCCATTTGGAGGCCCTACTAGTGCTGCAAAAAAAAGCCCAAATGGGCACAGAAGTATATTTTTTAGATAGACAAAATTTAATTCGTCACCCTTCACAAAAAAGAACTCTATTGCTTCCTTGATAGAGAGGAGAGACAGAGAGAGCGAGCAAGAAGTATAAGAAACCCTAACCCTCCCTCTTCTGTGAAAACCTAATTCGGTATAGGGATCGAATAAGTGAGTGGTTGATTGTTGTGTGCGTGTGTGTGTGTGTGTGAGAGAGAGAGAGAGAGAGAGTATATAGCGATGGGGAAGAAGAAGAAGAGGGCATCGTCGAAGATGTGGTGCTATTACTGCGACAGAGAGTTCGAGGATGAGAAGATATTGGTGCAGCATCAGAAGGCCAAGCACTTCAAGTGCCATGTATGCCACAAGAAGCTCTCCACCGCCGGTGGCATGGTCATTCACGTCCTCCAGGTTCACAAAGAGACCGTCAACAAGTCTGTATTTTTCCGTCTCTCTCCCCCTCTATATACATACAAACAACATACTGAAATTTGCATGTCCAGTTTTCTAGGTTTCTGATATTTCTATTTGTTTTCGCGAGAGAGAATAATTTTGAATCGTATTTTCGTGGAAAATGTGGTTTTTACCTGATATTGTGAAATGGGTCCTCAGAAAAGGTGGGGGAAGAACACATGAAATTTGGGAGCAATTCGCTTCGGTTGACTTTGGGAAAATCATCCAGGTAGTTCGCCGGATCTAGTGTTTGTGTTTTTTTTTCCTCCTTGGAAAGTATTTCTGCCGAGATATATCTGTCAGAGTGTTAAGCCAACATGTGTGAGGTTGTTGGTTGGGTCTGCACCCATTCCTTCCTCTCAACAACCTTGAGTAACGAGGGCCAAACTACATTGATGTATCCCAGCAAGTTTCTGAGTTCTTCATGGCAAACTTGTTAGAAACTCAGACATGAGTTTTTGAGCTTGGACTGATCTTAGTGCCCAATTTAGAGGCCCAATTCTTCTTCTTTCAGGCTTTTAGATATGAAAATCTTGTTTTGAGCTTGATCTTCATTTCCAAATTGGGATTATTTCTTGTTGCCACACATTGGCTGTAGATGTAAGGTCGAGGTGGTGCTAAAATTTGGCCTTATTAGCTTCCAATTCTGACCATGGTGATCGGAGGGCTGGGTGGAGCAGGGGTTTGCTACCCACACGCCTTGATGAGAGAGTGAGGTTGGAGGAAACCGAGAAAATGGAAGCCAACTTGTTGTTAGCTACAGATTAGGTGCGGATGGAGTTAGAACAAGCAGTTGGTTTTGAAATGTGTGTAGAAGATGAAGATGCCGGATTACCTTGTGGAGATCATGTCAACTAGGTTTGGCTTTAGAGAAGTAGGCGATCGGACACCTTAGTTGTAGTCAGCTTTCTTCTTTTTGTTTTTTTTTGGTTTTTTTTTTGGGGGGGGGGCGCTTATCTGCCATGAAGTGGTTTGGGTGCCAAATCTTGAATGACCACATCTGACATGTGGCCACTGCATTTGAATTTATGGGATAGTGATTTGACACATACAATATCGAGTAAAAAAATTGTAAATGAACAGCCAGAACTGTAGCTTCAATTTGACCCTTCTGCACTTGGCATACCAGATAATCCTTGATGCACTCTTCAGTGGCACACCTAATCCACACTTTTGTGTGTAGTAGTAATCAGTAATCACTCAAATGGGTTCAACCCAATGGCATGATTGGACATGGTAAGAAACATACTAGGGATGACATTCTGAAATTTTTCTATTTTTGCCACTTTATGGGTTAGTTGGTTGGAAAGGAAGGCTAGAGTTTTTGAAGATACGTTTGAGGTTGTGGAAGGATTAGGGGATTGGTTTGTTTTTGTTAGCTTCTCTCTGGACTTCGTTCACAAAAGATTTTGAAAAAATCCATCGCTTTTGTATTCTGGTAGGATGGGGAGTGATTCCTTAAAGAACTACCCTCACAAATGAGTGTAATGAAAAATATACCCTATTATTGACATGAACACTTGCAACAATTGCATGACGGAAGGCTTACTGAAAGTTTCCTTGTCTCTTGACTCTAATAGAAACAAATGGTAAGCTCTCTGTAGGATTGTGATTGTTCTCTTTCTTCTGTAAAAAGGTTTGAAATCCTATCCATTGAAGTGGGGAAGCACACCATTTTACTGTCGGAATCGTGCTATCTATACTAAACTGATGTTGGAAGGCAGTTGTGTTTTGTTGATCAAGCGTGAGAGGGAATCATTCCTTCCTGCTCGTCTTGAGTCGAAACCCACTAAGTGGAAGCCGGGGCTGATTGAATTCAATTCTAGTGAGATTAGTCCTTTGTTTTAACCAACGTGTGTTGCCCTACTTAATTTTTATTATGCATTGTTTACTTATCAATAAAATATAGCGTTTTTTATTTAGAAAAACTGCTCAATTGGGTCTCTATACCTATTCTCCAGGGTAGCCAGAGATATATCATTGTTTTGTTGAGTACGTGTGATGAGCTCTTCTTCTATGAGATTTACTCTTGTAGCTCATACTTGGTTTCTTTGGCATACTTCGCAAGTTATTGCACTATCCAAATTTTGATGAATGAAACCAATTTTTTACAGATAGGAAAAAAGAATGCTTGGCCTCTCCCCTCCCAATCTCTCTCTAAACTCAATTGTACTTTTCTAACATAGATTTCAGCTTCTATGAGGGAGGTCATGCCTAAGGAATTTTCAGTCAAACTCCCCTGCTACATTACAATACCTGCCTTTGGTTATTTAGCGGAATTGAAGATCAGTGATTACCGGAAACTAAGTTTGGTTATGTTTTTGATCTTCTCTGAGTTATAATAATACTTTTGGTTGAATATTCTTAAATTGCATTTTGTTTTGGGATTTCTTCCAGACTGGTATACTTCTGAAAGCAGATAGTTCTACGTACACCAAGATTATGACATTGCCTTCTCGCTACTCCCAAATTATTTAAAAGCTTCAGTAATCTAAATTAGGTACTGAATAGAGTGTTATGAGATCAGAAATTAGAAAATACTGAGAAAATACAAAGTGGTATAGCAGCATACTGGGTTGGTCAGTCATTTTTTCATGTTGTCTGATAGGTTATACAATCTATGTTTTAGATTTCTTTTTACAGTTGATCTTTGTATGAAAAATACTTATTAGCTTCACTCGCCTGTTTCTTCAAGCTGTTGTGCTGATTGTTTGTGCTTCTATACTATTAGGCCACTGGGCTAAATGAAATTTTTGCTACAGGGTGCCAAATGCAAAACCTGGTAGAGAATCAACTGACATTGAAATATATGGAATGCAAGGGATCCCCCCTGACATCCTGGCAGCTCACTATGGAGAGGACGGTAAGTTTATTATGTTTGTGTCAACTTTTCATTTTGTGTTAGATTATGTTGAATGCATGCTTATGTACTTTTGCATTTTGTTCATAATGGTAAGCTGAAATGATTTTACATTTTAGGGTAGATTTTACTTGGACTCATTCATTTTCTCAAAATACAATCTTGATTGGGACAAGTAATGCAATATCCGAACTTAATTTTTGTTGGAAAATAATTGATCTAGTATTCAAACCTCTCCACTTATTAGTATTTTGTCCCTTTCTCATGCACACAGAGTTTGTTGCATAGAAATATAAACACACCCGCAACCCCTCCCCCCTTCTTCAGAAACTATTCTCCCCACTCACAAGCTCCACTTCCACAACAATTATGATCCTTCTCAAATCCAATACTAAGTCAATCAGCTCAAACACAAACTCACCATTGAGTCAACCATCTCAAAGCCACACCACCTCTAGGCCACTCGACCCATTACCTATACCAACAGACACATAGTCAAACCACTACTCTCTCTCTCTCCATATCCACATGAAAACACAAACCCCCCATTTACAACCCAATTCAAACCATGTGTGCCACACACAACTCGACGATCACCAACCCCATCATCAAATCTCTCGGTCACCGAAGCAAACTGGATATCAATTCAACTCCCCAAAATTCAGACATTTTACTCAGCAATTTTAGTTTCTGTTTTCAACATGCATGGAGTATCATAGCAATCTTATATTGTCTAATCTTCGGCTTGTTGGTGAGACTATCCGGTTGTGTAATGTTGAAGTTGCGATAGTCAAAAATTGAAAAGCAGTTGTGTGTTACCTGTCAGATTGGTAGCGAGCGTTTTAATATGAGTTTATCGTGAGATATTTTTGACATTGGAATGGAGGATTGATCAATAGAAGAGCTGGCTGCCTTTATGGTCTGCAGTGGGTTGTCTTTCTATATTTTATTTTGGTTTGACCAAGAGTAAATAAGTCATTTCACATTTAACATTTTCTATCTTTAGTGGGGGCCGTACTCTTTTTGCAACACGTTGGCGGTTTGAGTGATATTTACCATTTTTTTGTTATTAATTTGTGGCGAGGGTGTGTTCGTATTCAATACTTTATAAATATGGGGTTTGGCAAACAATGTATTTAGAATGCTATGAGATGCTCGGTTGCTTGATTTTCTGAACAAATATTAAAAGGACATAGGAAATACTAATTCCAGCCAAGTGACTCAAATTAACTCAAAATAAAGATTCAACATTGTTCCAGATGAGTCTTTGTGTTGTTGGCAAGCCAAATTCATTTTTCATCACATCTTTTAATTTGTTTTTCCTTGAGCATATTTGGATTGTATCATTCTACATTGATTGGAGAAAACTTGGCCTCGAGTTTTTAAGAAGTTGTACTATGAAAGTGTAAAAGCTTTGAAATTGCATTTGTATTTATCTCTGAAAAGTCTTTAAGATGATGTCTCATTTTCTTCTTGAATTGAGGTAACAAACAAGAATTTCGGAGATCGATCTTCTTGATTTGGTCGTTGAACTTCACTAAAATGATACAATCAATTGGTGGAGCAAAGTGAAGAGTATCCTTGAAGTGGCATTGAACATGAAGCCTAGTAACCTGCCTTTCAATTGTAGCCTTCCCTGATCTTGTGTTATGTGTTGCTTATACCTCTATTCATGGTGATCCCTTCATAGTAATCTACCTTGATATTCTCACGAGCACTTTAGGATAGGGTACCATTGTTGCGTCTTTATGCTCATTTAGATTATTGGAAGATAGAAACAAATCAAGCCTTTGAGTCACTGATGTTGAGGATTGAAAGTCATCATCCGACAACTGTTTTGGCACAATTCTGGAGTTCTTAGATAATAACATAGCTATTGTTATAGGCAAATACTAGTTGTTGATTTTTCTATCTTGCTAGGCTCCACAACAATGAGCTTTTGATAAAAAAGGGCTGCCCATACAAGATTAAGTTGAAGTTTAAATGGGTTGAGGGGAAGATTTTTAAACCCGAAACCCGTGGAGATTTTTAAGAGAGGCGCATGGATTACACAAAACCTAAGAAGCACAAACATGAAGACGGGACACAAATACGATACGACACGGACACACATATACGATATTTTCAAAAAAGTAGGACACGGATACGCTAAGGACACGCTACAGATAATTGTGTTTTGTATATAAAATTATATAATTTATTATAAATATAGTGATAATGATTTATTATTCATACAAAATTCAATACTTTATGATAAGTAAATGTTATGTTTAGTCATATAATTTGAATTTTTAGACTAAGATGATCGTTAATAATCATCAATTTTTTCGTGGACGTGTACCAAAACTATGCAATTTAAAGGATTGAACTCATTTTCTCTATTCCTCTTTTCTAAATCTTTTATGTATTTTTTTTTCTTTCGTTGTTATATTTTGAGTACAACTTTAACATTTGTAGTCTTGGTAATTATATGTTCTTTAATATTATAAGATATCTATTAGTTGATTTTTTAAGTTTTGTTAATTATGTGTCAACATATGTTTATTATTTAATAGTAGACACTGTTTAAAGAAGTGGCAGATAAATCACCAAAAAAGTGGCGGCCACGTGTTCGAAAATAAAATTTTATCATTTGATTATGGACACAGATAACAGAGTATTGGACATTTGTTCGAGAGTGTTTGAGGAGTGTCGGTGTTTGACACAGATGCGTCATTTTCTTGAGAATGTCTGTGCTTCATAGTTCAAAACTCATCAATTAGTTTGGGAAGACCATATACAGAGCGTCTTGGCTCTGTTCGGGTAAAAATGATGAGAGGAGATGAAGAATTTAAGGAGGGATGGATCTTCCAATGATGAGGAGCAAGGATTTGGATATGTATATAGATACGACCTAGATACTTTTATAAATATATATGTTTTATATTTTGGAAAAATCCCATTTTGTTCCTAAAAGATACAAAAATTTTTAGTTTGTTCTTCGAATGATTAATTTTCCCACATTGCCTCTCAAAGAATAGAAAATGTTGTAATGTGGTCCATTGTCAAATAAGACAGTGGATCACATTGTAACGTCTTTATTTCTTTGTGGGGGTAATGTGGAAAAATTAATCATTTAGAGGGCAAACTAAAATTTTTTGTATCTTTTAGGGGACAAAATAGTATGTATCCTATTATTTTTACTATTATGTAATGACTTGATGATTATAATTTGTAGAGATTCTTTAACAATAATAAACAACATTCACAATTATTTATTTTCAAAAAATTACCTATTGACTCTATAATTTGTAGAGACTCTCTATGATACGTCTGGGCAAAGTTGGATTGAACACATAATGTTTGCCAAATAGTCCCAAATTTTCTTTGCTTGTTTTAAACTAAGGCCGATGAACACCTATGGTTTGATGATGAGTTGTTAATTCAAGTAGTACTTTTGGCATTATTGATGTTTGACTTGTTCACCAATTCTGTATAATTTTTTGCCTTAGTATCTATTGGAGCTTAAACAGCTCCAGTGATATAGCTCCATGTATTTCTCCCTACAGGAATTTTTTTTATATCATATGCCCAATAGGCAAGATTATCACAAGTTAATTTCACACCGATGGCCTGAAGAGTGTTGGTGGTCCCGCTTGCCATAATCACAACAGAGTTGTCAAACAACAAGAATAAATGTTGTTTACCCAACTGTCAAGGTCACTGAATGACCAAAACAAACCAAACAGTGCTTTGCTCAAAGCCAAAATCCGAAAATTAACCAAAATACACAGAACCAGGTGCCATATAATAATGGTTGGCGAACCTGAAGAACACCCAAAATTGGTACTCAATCAATGCCAGATACCTTGAATGAGTCAATTGTGCATCAAAAAAGCTTAGTCGCACCCATTAGGAAGGATTAGAACCAGCAAAGTCAAAGAAAAACCTCCAAAAAAGCAGAGCAAGCAGATCAAAAAATTCGACCCTATTTCTAGAACAACATTCGACAAGTGAAAAATCCTATCAATTTATATTGATATCAAAAACAGATTATGGTGAGTTTCATTGCCTCTGGTTGCTGTTGCAGTCAGCATGTCATCATCTATGCAGATGACATTAGCCACTGTTCAATCAGAGGTTGTTCGTCTGATACCACTTCTGATGAATGCTACTGCATTGCAAATCTTTTTTAAGATTGAAACACGATCTGATACCACAAATTGGTTATAAAATGGAGAGAGAGAATAAAAAGAGAGTCACATTACGGCTACATTAGTCTGCTTAAAGCATAAAGGAAAAGGTACATAGCAGTGCAAAGCGAAAATGGAATTGGATTAGCCCACCCCTAATACTGAAATAATGTAACAGGGACAAGGTTTTGTTTAATTGAGTTTGAGTATTATATGTAGCGATATGAGTTAATTAATTCGAATTCATTTTCAGGAAAATTTCACTCCTCTTCTCTTTTTTTCCCCTTTCCACAAAACCCTATACCTATAACCATTAAATTTCCACTGTATGGCTTGTTTAGTGGCTGATGTCAAATTTTGGTAGCAAACGGTAATGTTTTAGTAACTATGTTGGGCTATAAATAGTGATGTAAACATTAGTTTACATTCTTCCTATATGTTGTAGAGACAGAATTGTTGGGCTTTGCGATATATGTTTTATATGCTTGAAGCATTTCTTTATCTAATAACTGAGAAATTTAATAAGTCTTAAAATTACAGAAGATTTAAGGAGAAGAAGTAGGAAAAGAGGAAATAGCAAAAGGAGAAGAACCTCACAAGGACGCAGAAAACATCACAGAAAGGCAATAAAAATTCATATTTATGAACCCTGACGAATCAATCAAATTAAGCATTTATTATGTGCTTTAAACTTCTATGACTACCAAAAGAACTACTCCAGAATACGAGACTTAGAATCAATGACTACTAGGACTGTTCTAGAACACTCATAACTTCAAATTAAGCCAAACAAAATAAGTAACTCAAAATATGACCTTTGTATTATTTTGAAAACCTAGTTCGAGCAATTATTGAAAAGCAAAAAATATCCTTGGTACCTAAAACTTAATAGAATATAAATAAATTGGATCAATAGTGACTAACTCTGTATAACTTATAACAAACTGTTTATAAGCTACCAAGGACACTTCCTTTGGACCTTGTTGGTTGTCATGGACCCATAACCTTAGCTATGGGTTTATAAAGTGGACGTGAATATAAATAAATTTGATCATAGCTAACGAACTTAAGATAAATCACATAATAAACAGCAGCTACCAAGGACGCCTCTTTTGGACCTTCTTGGTGGTTGTGGACCCATACCCTTAGCTATAGGTTTATAGAGTGGATGCCTTTTCTAATCAAGCAATTTCGGTCGCATCACTAGATCTCCCCCACCCCCAAAAAAAAAAAAAAATGGAAAAAACCTCACGCACCCATCATCTAGTTTGATTTAATTGCTTTGCACCGTTTTCAATTTTGTGTGAATCATATTAAATCCGCGGTACGGAAGAAAGAGGCATGCCAAATGGAAGGGCATGCCCTCTAGAGTAAATTGTCTTTAGGCATCACTTTAAAGATAGCAGAAGATATTGGGAGAGATAGCTGCCCAAAATAATTATATTTTCCTTCAATAAATTTGGTTCCTTAGAAATTCGCAAGAACAAATAGGCAACTGTGCCCTGCATGCTTCTTATGGTTGCTATCGGTACCAAACCAAAGGGAAATAAACCAAGAAATTGGAAAAAGAAATTAAAATTTGCTGCTTATGGAATAATATTACTATTCAAGGATCAATAATTTGTTTTTTTCCCACTGAAAAGTTTCGGTTTCCATGGAAACTGAATTGAACCAGTGAAATTCATATGTTTTGAGGAGTCAGAAGCGTTTCACATCTCTAACATCTCTGCAAGTGAAGAGAAAGGATATGTTTTGAGGCGTTTCAACCAATGTTTTGGAAACAAATTTCCTCATGTTTTTCTGTTTCCAATTTGTTTCTGAATTGTTGTTGAAACTTTATCATCTCTGAGTTGGCCGAATCTATGCACCCAAAACGAACTTTGGATCCTTCTTACTAGCTATATGACAAAAGAAAAAGTGAAGGAGAGATTATGTGTGTTGCTGAAAGTACTTCAATTCCACTACTGCTTCGTGTGTATCCCATTTATATTCTTATAACTTATTCTTTAGTGACGGTGTTCTATAAATTGTGGTTTACTTTTAGTGACAGTTAATGTTTCCTGCAGATGAAGATGCCCCATCAAAAGTGGCCAAAGTAGATATACCTCCCACTCAGACAGTTGGTGGTGTAGTGCCAGGATCATTAGGTGTTGGATATCCTCCTCAATCAACTTTTGGCATGATGCAGTCAGTGTATGTTGTCTTATAAAATGTCTAAGATCTTTATGCTTGTATCCGTGCCCCCATTTTATGTTTTGAAAAAGTTAAAATATGTGTATTGGTTGAGAAGCTTGGCTTAGAGTGAATTCTTAAGTGCACTCTTGTAGTTTTATTTATCCCTTTTTTGAGATATGTATAAATGGTTGCACTATTATACTAACAAGTTTAAGATGACTGTTTTGAGACCTTGGGTTATCTTCATTCATCTCATATGCAAATACAATAGAATTGTGTTCCACATGATTCACTCTTGATCAATAGCATAGGTACTCACCTTCCTGTTTTCTTTCCATAAAAGAAGACGTTTTCGTGTTTGGACACCTACCTTGAGATGTTGACATTCTAATAGGTACATTTTATGTTAATAACAACACATCACGTGGATTCCACATGAATGTTTTTGGTAAAAAGAAGTTGATAAAAGCTATATGACAATAAAAAGTACACCTACAGATGCCCATATTATGTTACGTAGTTACAAAAAATTATACAATGTGAATCTAGTTATAAAAAAGATAATAAAGATACAGTTAAGATGCTATTTCTTTCAAAATTTGTGATGGAGAGTGATTTATATATGGAGGTTTGAAAATAAAAATATAGGCCTTCAAATTCCAAATGGTAAGGATTTTTTTTATAAATTATTGGAAGATATAAAAATTAATGTTTAATATTCTATTGCTACTCCCTAATTTTTTTTTGAACTAATCAACCAAACTTGGAGCTCCTTCTTCCTTTCTTAGGCCCCATTTCTTTTTCTTTTTTTTTTTGGAAGAAAGGGGGGGGGGGGGGAGTGACATCATATTCTCTCAAAATTGTTGAGTTTAAGTGAGAAATATGAACTCTAGATTATTTTGAATTTTGGTGACTTCATTGACTTTGGTGATTTTTAATGGGCACAATATAGTTTTGGTCCCCAAATTTTGTGCTCCATCAATTTGATCTGCAA